GGATTGACTCCCATTCTTTAAAAGCCCTCTTAAAATACAATATATTCTTGAAATCTTCAAGGAGACTGTTCTGTAAAAGGAAAAAAAACCCAAGCAGAATATGCTTAGTCTATGCAGAACTTGGTGCTCATTATGTCCACATGCTTTAGCTGTTTCAGAGAAGATGTGCATGCACTGCATATTTATAACCAAAACTATTAATCTTTTACAGTATATCTTAAACATCAGTGTAGTATAACATCAAACTGTGCTCCCAGATTTATTATGTTATTTTATGCACTGGTACTGAAGGGGAAAAAGAAGGAAGTCATATATCTAGGGAGGTGCATTTATGGTAAGCACATCAGCCTTGATTTGTACAAAGCTGCATAGTTGCATTATCAAAGACACAAACTCCTTGTGGTATTGTGGCACACAGGGTTGCAGACCTCTCCATCATTTTCTAAGACAACTTTTTCATATTCCCAATTCAAAGAACTGATGAAAAAATACAATCCTAAATATAAATCCTAACTGAAAGTATATATTAGAGATTTTTCTTTTCAAAGAGCATCTCCATCTTCCTCTGTGCTTTGTCATCGGGTGTCTTGTCCACTCCAAATTTTATATTTTCCGTATTAAATTTTTACCACCCAGAAGTTTGAGGGGTGTTGTCTCCTCTGTGGAGGTAATTTTTCAGTTGTCTTTTCCGCAATATCTTTTGGGGTCCTAAAAGGAGAACCACTGGAGGGACATATCTTCTGAACCGGAAAATATGAGTACATTACGTCTGTGGAGGCACAGTGCTATTGCATCCATAGTTCCATTGTACTTGCTCATCAGAAAGTCTAGCGTGCTCCCTGCCAGGACACGACCTTTGCATGGTGTGATTACATGCATCTGAAACAGAATAAATACGAAATCAGTAGGTGAGAGGTTAATCTAGAACCATGTAACATGCACTGATGTAAATAGTACCTAATTTTACCTTTTAACAACATGTGATATGTATTAGAAAATCTTGTGTCCTTTTTTTTTTCTTTTTTTAAATTAAAATCACATTCCACCTAATTATCCAGTAAGAAGTTAGGCTTTCAAGGGAAATAGCTGCTAGCAAGCTAATATTTTATTAACATCATTATTTAATATAAATATTTAATGTTTATTATGATTGTTATTGGATGTTAATTATTGTTACTTATATGTTAATTAAATATTGTTATTTATAATTAATCTCTTGGCATCATTTTAGTGAGGAGGTTTTGGCTGTTTTGTCATTTTGTTGATTTATTTATTTATTTATTTTGAAGTACTATTTTTAAATTCCAAGAATTCTGAGGAAATATGGAAAAATATTGTAGGTGAATGGTAGTCTTGCAAGTGATCTGTATGGCAAATAAAATCCACCTGAGTATAAGGATTTTCACTACAGTGGTGTAAATCTAGTTGAAAGGTATCCCATTTCTCACTTCTTTGAAAGTATTAGTAGAAGTTCTAATGAACTTCATATACACTTCTTTAGTGTTTCAGTTGTGTATTAATGTTCTTCTTGCACTGCATTAGTAAATGAAAGTTACCGTTTAATAATCTATGTTCTTTCTTGTAGAAGCCAAGAAATGGTTCATAAAACTCAGAAAATATTAACTGAACTAACCCCCTCAAAAATGGAAGCAGTTTGAAATTACTGATTTGTCCCATTTTACTCCAATCTGCTATTGAATTTATTACCACCACTCGTGGTGCAGGCAACTCTGCACGTGTCTGTGTGTTAATATAGATTAGAGAATGGAAATAACTGTCAATTTATGTTGTAAGGTTTCCACTGCCATGAATTTCTTTCTCCATTGTTGTTTCATCTGTCAAACTTTATAGATCTGACAAGTTTCATTAATAAAGTGTCAGTGTGTGATCTTTCAGATCTTTAGCCTGAATTTTGAAAGATTTTGAAAAATAAATAATTGTTAAATTAAACACAGAAACCTGCTTATATATGTGCTGTTGATTTACATATTTTCTGCTAATGGACACTGTTATCTCTTTCCAATGGCTAAATTCATTTGTGTTGCAAGTTTATAAAAATGCTGATTGTAAGTGGCAAATAGTATTATTCCTATTTTTATCTCGGACGCACAAATACACCCTGAATGGCAGAAATCAATCCATACATGTTTTCTCTGATACTGTTGGAAAATTATCTTAAGCTGGAATATCTGTTATTAAATTGCATAAATCTAATGCATAAAATCACTTGATTGATCAAGCCATTGCTTGATTTTATTCTGGTCTTTGAGTATGACAGTGGTAGGAGCCATTTTTAGCTTTCAACTTACTTTGATTTCTTTTTAGATAAAGATATCACTGTGAATCATTTATAATATGCAATTAATAACAAACCCCCTAACAGTACCTCCTTCTGTAGTAATGTTTATATATATATATATATATATATATGTATATATATAATATATATATATAAGTAAAATTACTTATAATATAGCAATTCTTGATTATGTGGGGCTTATAGGCAGAAAATCGCGTCCTCAGAAAAAAATGATCAGCAATAGAGAATTCCCTGCAAAAACTTCTGGGGAGTACAGTTTCTTTCTCTACGGTTTGACTTTTAGATTGACATGTTGTAGCTTTTCTTCCAGGTGCATCACTCAGAAATATCCTGTAAAGTATCTAGCCTGTAAAGCAGTTGAGCTCTTAAAGCCTATTAAAATTTGAATTTGCCAGTACTCCAAAGATTTTAATCTCATATCAGAATCCATCATGGAAAATAGACAAGAACCTTGGATCTATTTGAAATTTGGCAGTACATTCAGCCATTACTACCAGTAGATAATAGCTCCATCTCTTTTGGCTGCTTACATTACTTTTTAAAGCATCTTGTTGTTAATTACTTGAAACTTTGCCAAGCTGTAACAGGTTGGGTTGGAATTTTCCACTTAAAGCAAAGGACAACATGGATTCCTTATTTCCTGTATGCTAAATGAAGCAGAGGCCTGTGGAAAAATAGTATGCAATCAGATAATTAAACATTCTGCCATAAAGTGTGCAGCTAGGGAAAGGAGTTGGGGGGAGTATATAGCTTGACTTCTGGCTTCTTCCAACCTTTCAACACTTCATGACTTTGTTTTGTGCATATAGAGTATAGTGTAATGTCACTTATTTTTGAGTGCTGACATAGTGAAACAACTGACTGTGACATTAATATCACTGAATGTGATCATGGGTTTCGGGTGTGTTCATGTTCTTTTGGGGTTTCTTACCTGTTTGGATTTTTTAAATTTTAATTTGGCCTGGGTTGTTTTTTGGTTGTTTGTGTGTTTGTTTTGTTTTGTTTGTTTTGTGTTGTTTTTTTTTCTGAAAATTGTTCGTTTAGTTTGGCCCTAAACAGCAGCAGAATTACTTGAGTACTGAGACTGAAACATCATCTGCTTCTGTGTGTATAATCAGATATCCAAGACCAGTGCATGAATTCAGAATGCTCTGTAGATCCTTGAGTTAGAAATCCTGGTCTGCTGTATTTACAGGCATGCACCACTTTTTGGAAAAAAACTCTATATGTTCATAAAAATCATGTTGGCTTCCCTCAGCCTTAGCTCAAAATG